AAAGAGTAAAAAGAGAACCTACAGACTGGGAAAAAATTTTTGGACAGTGCAAGTCAGACAAAGGTCTAATCTACAAGAAAATTCAACACCTGTACAAGAAAAAGACAAATAATCCTATTAAAAAGTGGACAATGGAAATGAACAGACACTTCACCAAAGAAGACATTCAAGTAGCCAACAGACACATGAGGAAGTGCTCGTGATCACTAGCCATTAGAGAAATGCAAATTAAAACCACAGTGAGATACCATCTCACCCTGGCATTACTGGCACGAATCCAAAACGCTGGAAATAACAAATGTTGGAGAGGCTGTGGGGAGATCAGAACTCTTATGCACTGCTGGTGGGAATTCATAATGATACAACCATTTTGGAAAATGATACGGTGCTTCCTCAGAAAGCTAGAAATAGAAATACCATACGATCCAGCAATCCCACTCCTAGGAATATATGCTAGAGACCTAAGAACTGTCACTCGAATAGACATATGCACACCCAGGTTCATGGCAGAATGGTTCACAATAGCAAAATGATGGAAACAACCTAGATGCCCATCAACAGATGAATAGATAAACTGTGGTACATATACACAATAGAGTACTACGCAATGGTAAAGAACAATGATGAATTTGTGAAGCATCTCATAACATGTATGAAGCTGGAGGACGTTATGCTGAGTGAAATAAGTCAATCACAAAAGGACAAATATTGTATGAGACCTCTATTGTAAAAACTCATGAAAATTTACACACAAAAAGTAACAATCTTTGTTGGTTACCACGGATCGAGGGATGGGGGGGAACTAAGTAGACAATAGATGATTGGTAAGTTTGGTAAAGGGTGAGATAGTACACAGTACTGGGGAAACCAGCACAACTTGTACAAGGAAAGGTCATCAAAGCTCCCTAGACACATCTAAACTCACTGAGGGACTGAATTGCTGGGCGGAGGACCGTGGGGACCATGGTTTTGGGGAACATCTAGCTCAATTGGCATAACACAGTTTATAAAGAAAAAGCGTTCTACATTCTACCTTGGTGAGTATCGTCTGGGGTCTTAAAAGCCTGTGAGCAGCCATCTAAGATACTCCACTGGTCTCACCCCTT